CGACAAATAGGTGTGGTGAACGACACCCCTCAGTAAGTTTTTGATTACAAGTAAGAATAGCATATATTCAGAAGTCTACATTTAGGAGATGATGTATACTACGACTACGCCGGCCCTCTGTTGCGTAATTATGTTGTATAGAGCCAGAGACTTCCTTCTTAATAATCTATAAATATGTATGGGGGTCAGGTCCTTTGAGGATTAAATTACGACAAAACAGATCGTCACCGGCCGATATCTCTCCCGTAGTTTACATTCGTAACGAAGAATTATGTACGATAACACACGCTTTATTTTTAAATTATATTGAAACAACGGGCCTCTTTTTCTTTTTAAAACAATCGTTTCAAATGATTTTTTTTCTATATGCATTTTTTAGTCAGCGGAATCTCAAGAATCCTTAATCTCTACATTGATCATTTCACGCCAAGGTCTTAAGAAGTAATCATATTAGTACTACTAAGCTAATGGCATAGGAAATATTTATTTTCAAAAGGATTTACAAATGATTGTAAATAAACAAACACAGGCTAAAGCAATTTGCCTTATTTGTAACCTAGACAGTGCCAAACTTATATGAACTTACCTGAAAAAGTGTGAACTTTGAAACGTTTATCGGGACATGGTTTTCTATGCAGAATTTAGGACCTTGTCGATACGCCGAATGTGCCTCGATGATGAAAGGAAGTTAGTTTATCTTTAACCTTTATCTTTGTTTATTAACTTTGTTTTGAAGTGCTACTTTTCAGGCAGTAGACTGTTCACAGTCTCCTATTTTTTTCGTAAGATCGTCGAGGGCGAGCGGTTCCGCCTCCCACCCCTAAGTAGTTTTGACGCTCATCCAAGATGGCTTCCCCCAACGCACAGGGCTCGATCTCGACGATCTTACGGAAAAATAGGGGACTGTGAACAGTCTATTCAGGTAGGACCCTGCATAACTTACCTAAATGAAAAATGTATGTTAGTTGGAGGCTTATCGGGCGTCTTTTAGACTGGACCGGGAGCAGTCTCTTATTTTTCTTTGCAAAGTTACTACACGCGAAACCCAAGCGCGCGAGCGGTTCGCGGCTTCGTCCAAATCACTTATTGTAACTTAACGTCGTGGTTTGCAATCGCGGTGGCTGAGATAAGAACTAGACGGATTTTAAGAGAAAAGGCGGACTGTAAGCAGTCTACTTTTAGACTACCGTGGTATATTTTAGCTTCCAGAGGTTTTGTTGCAAGGAAGGGCTACTACCTAAAGGTGAACACGTGTCGTTTTCTAGCCAACTAGTGAGCTTGTTGTTTTTCTTATATTTTGCGCGGGAAAGCTTTTAGCTTTTTTCGATGCCTAATGTCTCTCCGCACGCTTAAACGCCCTTTCCGGGAAAAAAGTCGAGCTAACGGATATTAATCATAAAAGGGTGACTGTTTTCATCGCTTTACTCATTTTAGTTCTAATTAGAAGGTAATCCAATTGTGGCCAACTGTTGAACTTTTTCTGACCGAAAAAAAAGGCGGCCTAAGAACTCTTAAAGTTTGTTTTTGGCGCATTGTGAAGTTGCTTGTCTGCCTAGAGGCATTCGAAGGAAAGGGGAAAATAACATTCACGTTCAACTGTTCATCACTGTAGACTTCCAAAAGAAGGTGCTGTACTGTAAAATCTCTCTCTTTTTTCGTTTTTCGAACTTACTTTAAATGGTTTGTTGAAGAAATGCTATGATGTAATAATCATTCAAGCAAAACCTCTCCGAGTTGACAGCTACTTGTTGTTCCCTTGTAATTGGCTGAAACAAGACAGTCATTTCTTAAATAACAATGCAGATTATTTGCAAAGATCATCTTTAGTGAAAATAAACGTCGGCGCTAATGTATAGTGGTTCATAATCCGAAAGTAAAAAAATTGAAACTGACAATAATGCAGTGAAATTTTCCATTTGTGCCGCCCTTTTTCTGGCTAGACATGAACGCCACCACGTCGTCAGAGAGAAACTTAATACCGAGACAATCTGACATTTTGTAAGCAGCGCTCTTTCAACTGATTCACAAATCAGCGTTGGAGACATTTTACTGTGCAAAAATGACTCTAATAGCTTCTAATGGCAGCACTTTACTTCCCGGGGGGGGCGGGCGGAGCTAAAGGGAAGTAGAGGTTTACAGCCGAGGTGTTAAAACCCTGACACTGTCTAAGACAAAGATCGTTCATTTCGCTTCCCTGTTCAAGACAAGAAATATCATGGAATTATAATTTGTTCGAAAACCTTGTTGCTACCACTCTTGTAGACCGCTCATCGCTAGTCTTCACATTCTTTGAAACTGAGGCTTCCGGTCCAAAAAGATGCCATGGTCAAGACGCTAACGAGATCCGAAATTGGTGGTGAATTTCACTATTTGTTGAAATGTACCCACTCATCACTTTCTCATATAAGGGGTATCTTCTTGGAGAGCCTGTGCTCGATAAACAGTAATTTTACGAATATGTCTTGCAAGGCACTATTTTTATATATCATGTCTATGTGCGATGAAAACATCATAAATCTCTGTGCATCTTCATAGTGAAAATATTCTAAATTGTTATGTATCCGAACTCTAATTAAACTTTCTTATCATACGAGTAGCGTAGAAGCCGTACATAGCCAAGTAATTTTTCTTTTATGATAATATTCAATTGTTCCTTTCTTTCTTACTTAACTTTTATGTTACTTTTTTCATTTGTCATTGTTTTGGAATCGCTTTGAATTGCTTTGAAATCTTCAAAGTGTATAAAGTTGTAATTAATTATTTAGTGAAACGTATGCCATAGGACTCAAGAGCCTGATTTAAACCATACTCTTTTCAGTGGCACATACCTGTCTAGGGCAAATAAGGGAGTGCTACCCCCCGGGATTTTACTGTGGATACCATGCCTTTAAAGAAAATTAGAGTAGTACGTATGTCTACTCTGTTCCAAGATAGGGGTCCTTTAAAATCTTGAGACAAAAACTGTCATCTCCACACAAAAACATAAATACGCGACTTGTTGTGTTGTTTGTAAAAATCGTCATTCACCTAAGGGTCCAAGAAAGTACAGTCGAACTCTGCTTTACGGACACCTAGTTATCACGGACAGTTGTATTTGTGCCCGGAAAAGCCCTCATGTTTTTCTCTAAACAAGATGTCGTAATTAGTTTTTGATGTCATTCTTCAAAGCTGATAGCAAATTGAAAAAGCCCCTGGGGACGAAAAATAAAACATTAATTATTCAAGCATAAACCTCTGTCAAAACATTAATTATTCAGTTTCTGTCAAATCACAATTAACTAATGAAGCAAAAGTAGATTTTTGTCAGTACACGTGCAAATAGATTTCCTTATACTATTGTTCTAAGATTCCAGAGCAGTTGAGTTTATCGGGAAAATTATGGGTTGGCAGCAATCGCAAGATTCCCGACAAAGAACACGCGTTAATACGGACAACGGACACTTGTTTCTTGCCCAATCAACAGATTCTCAAAGAAGGTCAACCTCGCTAATGCCGACACTTCGTTATGAACTATGTGCTGTAATAGATCTTTCCTTTCTGAGGGAAAAAGACCTTTAGTTCAGTATGTCGACCTTCCCAGCGCTACAGTACACCGAATAGAATGATTTTTAGACGTCAATTTCAAACTAGTTTGGCATCAAAGGAGTTATGGAGTGAACGCACGGTTTTTATTAAGTTATGTTTAGATGAGCGATTTTTGAGCCCTTCGTGGATGTGGTCCGCGAAATGACAGCTTTGTGAAGATTAGAAATGTTTAATTTGACGATGGTTATGTCCTCTTTTATTTCGTTAGAGTTTTAAGGCGAATTCGTTTGCAACATACGCCTATAGCTGTGGCATTTGCCCGCTGGAATTTTTTATTGTTTTTAAGCCTAAAAAGAATAAAAAATTTCAGTGGGCAAATGCGACAGCTATAGGCAAATATGCAAATGAATCCATCCTTAGTTTCAGGTGTATTTTGGTGTTGATACGGACACTGTCCACGGCCCCTTCAGTATCAGTGGAGTTTTTGAGTATACGCTCTTGAGTAACCAAGCCCGGCCAAGATCGCCCTCCCCCGTGAAACTTTGTTTGTTTTCAATATCATGAATTAATATTGGTTTTCGTCAGAAAAAGGAGAACCTGTGGCGTAGACTTGTGCAAAGGTATCTTTGGCGCGCATCACTGATGGTCTTTTTTTAAGTAATAACTTTGATGTGCAAATCATTTACCTCTCGTGCACTAGCCTCTTTGATAAGCGACGAGGACGACTTTTTCTCAATGCAAACGAGCGCGCGTGAACCAAGGTCATTTTGGCGAAAAAGGCATCGTCATCCTGCAACGGTTTTTTGTGAGAATGTCGTGGTGGCGGAAGCAAGTTATCAGATTTTAGAATTTTTATCATTTTGCTATTGGGAAAGGGCTTAACCTCCTTCAATAAAACTAACTGTGCTAACTTATCTGGTGAAAAAATGACAATGAAACTTTCCGGGGTGTCTCTTTTTTGAGTAGACGCCAAAAAGCCCTAAGTGAAATCGCGACCTTGTAGTCGTTCTCGTCCATGAATCGAAAGGTCTCCTATTGCAGTCCAAGTTATCTAAACCTTTGGGGCCACTCACAAGGCATCAAGGGCGAACTCTCCGCGCCCTGTTACTACAGAGATATTCTGATGAACCCATCAGTTCCTAAGGCAAAATGCATGCAATCGCCGTCAACTATTAACGCACAAAAGTGACCATTAACCTTGGTCTCGGCAAACGCAGTATAATTACCTAACTGTAACATTTTTGCGGTACTATAGCAAATCATTACAGCTTATTATATACTTTCATGATTACATGTTTGTTTACCCGGCATGTAGTTTAAACAAATGACTTCACGTACCGCTTTTCCTCAGGTTACATAACCACATAGCTAGATGTCAAAAAAGGAATTTTTGTACAACGCTAAAGTTTCTACCACGAACGTACGTGTTTTGTGATGTCGTTTTGTGACGCATATTGGTCCGTAGCTACGAAACCATGTCCAGTGTGAGTTTATGTGTGCATATTACTTTTGAAACAAGTGCAAGTAACTGTAGGGCGCGGTTTTCTGCACAGGAAACAGCAGCTTTCGGCAAGTGTGCTTTTGAACTTCACTTTTTTTTCTCCCTAGTACATCACCTACCGAACGAGGTCATTTTCAAGCTTATTGTAACATATAATGTTACTTCAATGAAGTGAAAATATTTTTTTCATTTTCCCATATGGTGTAGCAATTACCCGTAGAAAGTGAAAAAAACAAAACAAAAACAAAAGAAAGAGAGAGGTAGCATTTCCAATTTGAAAATCTGCTTTCTTCGAATTCCAAAGCCAGGGAGACATCTAAATTTAAAAAGAGGTTCGTTTAAGCACAGTTCCCAGCTGAGTTACGTAAGGCAAGAGCGCCCGGGTAAGCCCGGGTAAGCGATTGTGGTGTACTGTAATCATGCAAGTCTAACGACCTTTTTCACACTTGTAATCGAATAGCAGAGATTAAATCACGAGGTCGCTCGTGGTTTTTGTTTTTATAAATTGTAGCCACGTTTGTTAATGAGTTCAGTTTATCAAAGCAAAAGACGCGAAAGGTTCTGACTTTGTCCTCTGCTAGTAAGTGGTTTTTATTTCGTACAGGTACATTATAACTTACGTATCTCCCTGGTTCCCTTTCTGACGGGACTTTAAATATGGAGAGGAATCAGCTCTCTTCTTCATAGACTTTATCGTTCAAGCAAAGAGAGGTTTTCTAGTTCAGTTTTGTTTTTTCAATTGTCGCTGTGGGTATGTAGTTTTTTTAAACCTACCTCACTGCAATTTGAAACACCTAAATCCCAAGAACTGGAGCAAGTTTTTTTTAACGGGGTAAAAATAGTACAATTTATCGTGCACCTAAAGACCAGTTTACCTCTGTTGGATATCTTTTTCACAACAGGTGTGTCTTATTTTTAAAGAAGCAGAAAAAGTCAGGCGCAATTTTTAATTTGGATTGGTAAACGTCCGTTTCTTTCCCGTATATCCTGGGTCCCCTGGTTTTGTCTTTCTTGAATATTATCACATGAACTACATACGGAAAACAAAACATACAAGCCAAAGAGGTCTATTCCCAAGGCGTTCTTTTATTTTGACGCAAGTTAACTTGAGACTGATGTACATTTCTGTCTTTTTTTTTAGGAACACGATGACAGTTGCGAGCAGAGGTAGAGAGCTTTTCAAGCTCGTTTTGCTGTTAATGAGTTTTTCTAGTATTTTGGCGAGTGGCTACGACGATCAGTCAGGTATTCCATTTCGTTTGGAAAAAAAATTACAAGAAATCAGCACCAGAGTGAACTTAAAAACAATTACCTACTTACGTATCAAGGGCCCTAACCAGCCCCTGTGTGGAGGGGTGCTAATTGGAGGGGTGGGGCTGGGGAAGGAGCTGACATGAATTTGGAAAGCGCCTTGTCCAAAATTAGACCTTTCTCACTTTGAATACTTACAGAATGGTGATCATGACTTAAGGAAATGATTTTCCATTACACGAGTTTCTCTGTCCTTCCGTAAATGTGCCAGACTCTCTTACCCGAGTTCACTTCTTGCCTGTACTCAACGTGTATTTCACCTTGTGAGTCCAAGCGGCTTCATGAACCGACGTACGACTTATAACCGTTAACCCTTAAAACCCTAAGATCAAAATTTGAATTCTCATTTTTTGCCCTTTTCATTTCCTAGAGAAGTTAGTGGGGAGAAGTTGATAAAATATCAAGCAAATTCACCATGTGTGATCATGTCTGTAATTCTCATGACCATTCTGTTTTACAAAGCATTAATATTACAAGGAGAAATTTGATGCTGATCACTTTTAGGACTTAAAGGGTTAAATAAACATACCTACATAACTGGAGTTAATTAGCAATGTTCATGTGTCGTAAATCATGCTAACAGGAAATTTATTTCACCAGAATGCGACTCTCCCCTAGCTGCGTCAGTGCCTGATAACAGATGGACCGCGTCGTCGACATTGGACCCGATCAAGTTCGGTCCTCACCTGGCTCGGCTGAGCAACACAGTTGAAACTGTCGGCTGGTGTTCTCCCTCTAGTAAAGAGAAGAAAAAAAGACCGTTTATACAGGTCAGAATCTTTCGATTCATCTTACGTTTGTTTTGTACTGATCTAGCTTGACCATTCCGTTGTCCAGTACCAAAATGTCTGGAAATTTTGGGGCAATCTGAATGGATAACTCCGGTCTGACGGACGCAGGTACATCAGTTTTGATAACTAGTTAAAATTCTATTGATGTGAAGTATATATGAAATAATTCTATTCTCCGTTAGGCTTGATTACCAGCCGCTGTTCGGGAAATGAGCCTGCGCTCCTCCCCACCCACCCCGCCCCCCTCCGAACAGACGGCCGTCTCCTCTCAGGGAGGACCTAGAGAGCAGCGGAAATCGATCCTAATCCTTTGTTTTCTCGGCGATATCTCTGTAATAAGCACTGTATTCACGACTTGACCCAGAGCCATCTCTTTTTACTTCCACAGCTTGACTTAGGTAGGAACAAGCGTATTACGGCCTTATCCACTGCTGGAGTTTTGATTAAGAGCCAGTCAACTGGAAACTACAGCTTTATGTACGCGTCACAGTACTTCCTGTCCTACAAGCGTGAGGACGATAAGGCGTGGAGGCGTTACCATAAAAATGACGTGTCTGTGACGGTGAGATACCAGCCGTTTTTTTACGTTTTTAAGCTTTACTTTCATTTATTATGTTATTTTTCTGAATAATTATTTAACTAATACTGGTTTGAGTATAAGCTCATATCGATATTCCAGTCCTAACGGTAAACTGCCCACCTACCCCTCCCCCTAAGCCAACATCTTGCCCTAAGTGAGAAGTAAGTGTTAATGTTGGCTTAGAGAAGGCGTAGGTGGGCAGTTCCCCAGAAACGTAACTGTGGTAAATGAAGTTCTCGTCTCTCGGTTACATGCGATTACACAGTTAGAACTAACTGTGAATGCCTTAAGTGGTCATCAAATGACTTTGTGTTGGTTATGGAATTAATCATGAGCCACCAGAGTGGCGTACAATCACTCGACATTAAAATAAGTGTTTTCTTCCTGTAGCTGATAAAAGTCAACAGTTCTGAGAGTCACAAGCAGGAGTTATTAACACCTCGCATTGCGCGTTATATTCGACTGGTGATTGTTGATGTGGTTGGAGAAAATTTGTGTTTGAAGATGGAAGTACACGGGTGTCCTTGGACCAAACACGGTGAGCATCACTCCTTTTGAACTCGCATTTTAATTTCTATTCCTTTGATAATGGCATCATGATGTCGTTGAAACGTCGGAACATTGTCTCGTTACTTTTCACAAATAACAAATAAATAAATAAACAACGATTTTGGGGAGCACTTCCAAATGGTGGTTCTTCGTATACCATTCCTGGTCGAATTGGAGTTTTAAAATTTTGGTTTTTAAGGAGAGGGGAAACCGGAGTACCCGGAGAAAAACTTCCCGGAGCAAAGCAGAGCCGGAACCAATTCCAAGCAGCTCTTCCATCATAATCATAATAATAATTAATAATAATTTATTAATTTGCTATGGTGCCTTTTAACATATAGACTAGATGATCAAAAGAGCTTTACATTGTCTATATTATAAAATGAATCAATGATAAATAAACCCGATAATAGGTAAAATGCTATTAAAAATTACATAAATAAAATGACAATCAAAACAGTATACTCAAAACTGTGTAAAAGCTAATCTAAACTTATGTGTCATGACATGTCTCTGAAAAGCGCCCAGTGATCACGGATATGCGCGAGAAAGCTGTTCCGCAATGTAGGGGCTGCAGCGGAAAACGAAAATCATTAGACTAAACCAAGTAAGTCATCAGGCCCCTAATACATCCAATGAAACCAGTTGCGCTATGTACTGGATAGTGATTTATTATCCGGAGGGGCGTTATCCACCTCTCGAACAACTGGGGCCAGGTGTTAATCATGTAGTTCATGTTTATATTCTCAGATGGTTTGATTTCGTACAAGATATCCCAGGGAAATGTCCGAGCGGCCGGCAAACCCGGCTGGTCGTTCCTACGGGACAAAGGTTATGACGGCAATCGACTCGCTTTCGGGACGAAGCTAGGACTCCTTTACAATGGACTTGGCCAGTTATCGGACGGAGTGACAGGTAACTTAGCAGACTGGAACGATACTGGAAATCCAGACTGGATTAAATGGATCGGTTGGAAGGACTCCTTGACTCCTGATCCTACTATTACGTTCCATTTTTCCGCTCTTCGTCGCTTTTCCAGCGTGCGATTTCACATCCTGAATCTACCAGGTCGGCACGAGAAAATGCTTTTCAGTAAAGTGATACTTTCCTTCTCCAAAGACGGCGAATATTTTGCCTGGAAGACTATTTACGAGCCCAGCATCACCAAAAGAACGTCAATGTGTAACCGAGCGTTTTGGATCGAGGTCAACCTGGAAGGACATGTTGGCAAGGACGTGACTTGTGATTTTCAGTACTATGGCTGGTGGGTGCTCATCAGCGAGGTGGAATTTGAGTCAGGTAATTTCCTTTTTCCTTCCAAGAGCGTTTATATATGACGTCACGGATACAAAACCGTGAGACGGCGGCCATGTTGCCTTAATTTATCAAGCCAATTTTGTGGGACTTCAACTCCTTTCTTATGCACACGCTTTCTTTTGTTTCGAGTTTCTCTAACTAGGCGGAAACCGTCAACTGGAGCGTCTATCACCAAGTGACGCAGCGTTAAATCTAGGTTTCTATATTTCGGTTTCTATGCATGCAAAATTTCAAATACCCGCCCAATCCAATCTAGAAGGTTGATCCTCTCGCCAAAACCTAGTGTTCTTACTTTTCAAATTTATGTAGACGAGTCTATAATTAGCTAACATATAATAAGCTTCGACCCAGGCCTTCCTTTTGCGAGATGAACACTCCGGAGATATCGGATCCTGTTGAAGGACATGGGTAAACTCGTAAGATAGAGTCAGCAATAGAGTAGAGCTTTTGATGATCAATCTTCTTACTTAGGGATTTTCAGTTTGAAGTATCACCCCGTCTTTTATCTGAGGTATTACCCCACCAGCCCCGCAAGTGTAACACTGATCGATCGTGACCCGCTAGTCGGTTATTCGCTTAATTGATTTGTCGGTTTGTCAGTATGGGCTTGGGAGGATAGCAAGCTTAACAGACAAAGGATTTTATTGTTTTTACCTCTTAAAATCCACAGTTGAGATCTCACGTGGTGATGGCGTTCTCGAGAACAGTAGCATTGCACCTCTGACTACATCAAACAAAGCGGTCACGGTTTTAGTCAACACAACGGATGAGATCAAAGTGGATGGTGAGTCCGTAATCTTAAGTTATGTTGCTGTTAAGTTCGAATGTACTAGGTAAATATCGTGCTATTAAAGCGGATTCGTCACGCTGCTAGCTATCTTTTTAAAAAGCTAGTCCATTTTCTGGATGACATAGTTATCTCTAATCATTATGTTGCCGTTTGTTTCCCAGAATCCAGTAAAGACATGGCCTCGGACGATCCCTGGAACAGAGCCTTGATCGCGGGTTTGGCTGCAGGGGTGGTGGGGGCATTGATGCTATGTGCCCTTGTCGTGTTAATCTGCCGCCGCCGAAAACGGCGAACGCGCGCCGAAGAAATCTTCGACCGCAATCCAATCAGAATCGTGAACCCAAGCAAGAAAAACTCACTAAACCGTAGGAACGATCCAGGCGCCGCAATGCGCTTCGACAAGCTGAGGATGCTAGAGAAGGGAGATGAGGAAGAGGACGATGAAGAAGAGGAGATGGGTTCGATGTCGGAAAAGTGCAACTTGAATAACATTAGCAACATGGAAATGAGAGACTTCCTCAAGGGTAAGTAACCCAGTGATCCCACATTTTTCTCTTTGTTTTAGGAACAGCAACTGTTTTTTAAATTTCTCTTTCCTTCGCCCATTTATCTTTGATACGTGAAGTTGACGGTAGCGGAAAGATCTGAGAATTAGCTATTCCTCTCCCAGCTGTTAACATAGTCAAAACCCAATAAAAATGTCAAATCTCCGCGCGTTTTAACGTGTGAAAGCACTGTTGAGGAGGTTTTACTTGGGATGATGATATCATGGAATGAATGAACTAGAAAATTCTGGGCCAAAGATCACTTCAAGCGTTATTTTAGGCTAACATTCACAGCGAAAAAAAGGTGCTCTTTCACTCAGCATCTAAACACCTTGTTCACTCTATCTTCCCTTTTCAGTCGATGAAATGGCTTGCAGAAATCTCCGGCCTGAGTCCACAGAAATCTCTATAGAGGAAGAGAAAGCAGCAGTCCTCGAGGAAATGAGAAAAGTCAGTGAAAGCAGTGATGATTAGGAATACCCCAGCTTAAGAAAATTGCTTGCGATGCTTATCATTTCTTGAGCCTTGCCGGCTCATTAAGAACTGGGACACACTTTTAGTAGAGTTAATGATTTCTAAACTACGTTACTCTGTCCGTTGAGTTTTTTTCGCGTTGTTGCAAAGTATGACTGGTTGATACAAGCACCGGTTGTTTCGGCCAATCAGGGAATCCAAGACAGTCTTGTATTCTGGATTCCACACAATGGATTCCAGATTCCAGGTATTGAATTCCGGAATGTTTGTCAGTGGAACTTGGATTCCGGATTCCAATCGTTTGTGGGATCCGGATTCTTCTAGCTGTATTCCGGATTCCAAAGCCGAGTATTCCTGATTTTATTTGCAAGAATTTCCCGTATTCCGGAATCCCTTACATGGGACGAGAGAGAGCACCCTCGTAACGTCTGGTTTTCCTCCAAACAATTTCAACGCGTATTTTTGTAAAATGGTCTATTGGTTCCAACTTTTGATAGGTAAGCCCACTCTTGGGTTATTGACCTGGGCCGAGTTGTTGAAAGCTGGGTTAAGATAACCCAGGGTTAGTGCCAAATTTGAATTCAGACATGAAAGCTTAAAAGGCAAATTCAGTTTAATTCTTTTTGTCCACACTTTGATGATTGAATGCTCTAAAAATACTAGAGAAATTTATCCGAGAAGATGCTTTGAAACAAAAGAAAACGAAACCCGGCGGATAAAGAATTAACCCTGCTGGGTTAGCGCTAATCGGCCTTCGAACAACTGGGCCCGGAATGATAAGTAACAGTGACATTGCACTGGTTTTAAGCTTCGTCAAGTATTCTGAAACAGGTTTTAGGTTTCATAGCTTTTAAAATAACTCAGTTAGCAAAACAAGATACACAGCGTGTTACTCTACAGCCAGCGTGTTATTCTACAGCATACAAACAATCTTATTCAGACATTCTTATCCAATCCATGCAAAACAACGTGAATGATCAGATTAAAGAAACTTCCTTAATTAAAAATGTACTCCAAAAACGTTTTATCAAGAATGGCCACTTGATGTTCCGTCTACCTGTTCGCTTTGTTTATACACACCATCATTTATGAGGAAAATTACTTTACACACACGTAAGTTAGGTACCTACCACCCTTGTAAATGCTGTCCGCTTCTAGGAAATATTTTCCTTAATAATTCAACTATAAAAAAGAACCAGTGAAAATATGGACAGAGACTTCTAATGTGGACACTCGAATGCTTATGCCGAAATAACTATATTAGTTTTAATACCAATTTATATTGGTTTTATATAGAATGGAGAACTTCTATCTCTATTTCTGCAAGAACCAATATTGAATAGTATTACGTTTAGGATTCTGAAAGCTATTTATGTTGAGCATAGCATCCGCAGTTGTTAAAATTTGTGTAATATAATTCTCAGTTGAGGCTCGTTGAGTGCAGTCTTTGAAAAATAAGGCGATATATCAAGTAACATTGTAAAGAAGTGGTAATCAAATTTAAATTGATTTCGGCCGTTTGTAAATAGCTTACGGTAAGCACAAGTTCATTGAATACCATTGAGCGGTAAATGAATTATTGTCTGCTGGCGCGCAGTTCAATGGAGAGAAGTGTGACGTCATGTTACCATGGTAGCAACATTTGTGGATCTCAACAACCTTTCTTGACAGAGACGGCCATTTGCATTGTCGAACGATGGAAAAAAAGTGGGAGCTACCGTTTTGTTCCAGAGTGCTACAATGCACGGAAAAGTCATACGTGTCATTTCTTTTCGTTTTTTCCCGCCATATTTGCGTGACCAGGGTTTGTTGAGATCCAGATATTGCTACCATGGCAACGCGACGTAACTACTTTTCCTGTCTATTTCTTACAATAATAAAACTTGTTGCTTGCGGCTTGTGTTGGAAATACTATACTTATTTGATTGTTTACGGCTGGTTGACGAATTCATGTAAGTTCTTAGGAACTTTGGACAACATTGAATTTATTAAATTAGTGTTTTCGAAATTTTAAAATGTTAATTGACGGATTGATTGACTTACTTCTGTTTAGCTATTTTGTTGTACAGATTTTTATATAAATGACTTATGTACATATGCGCTATTGTCATACGTCTTTCTTAAGAGATTTAGGAAATACAGTAATAAAGGCTTATGCAAATGACTCTTAAAACGGCTATAAATGTCTCTCATTTCAATTACCCTAAAGGGGCAATGTAACGCTACTTGCTAAAAAAAAGCTGAGGCGTGTCCTCGTATCGATTGTATTCCAAAAATAACGGCCCAATTTTGTTATTTAAGACTACACTTAAGCACTGAAACTGTTTCTGTCATCTGTTGATAGGGATTAGGCCAATTCCGAGTTCCCCCGAGCCTCTGTTTCAAAACGAGGGTAGGTGTTCAGCCTTTGATATGGAAATCATTTTTCATTCTCATGCAAATAAAACTCATTTTCACAAGAAAGGTTGTACACCTAGCCTCATTTTGAAAGTGAGGGATTTTGGAACTCGGAAGTGGCCTATTGGGCTAATTGGGCTACCTTTTTCAAGTTTTAATGTTTTGCCAGTATCACTAAATTCTTCGCCCCAATAATAATTGTTGATATCTTCTTCATAACTCTACAAGGGAATTTTGTGTATGGGTAAAAAGAGGGATTAAGCACAAGATTGACCAAAAAACAGCGACCTCCTCGTGACATAGCTCCTTTAACCCTTTAAGCCCTGGTATCCACTTACAAATTCTCCAAACTGATCTCCATAGATTTCGCTAAAGAATTAGTTGAGAGAATGTGTTAAAAGATCAATGCATTTCCCTGAGGTGATCATTTTATCAAATCTCATAACCGTTTCTTTTGATAATGTATTGACGTTGTTAGGAGAAAATTGATGTTGGTCACTTTTGGGACTTGAAGGGTTTATCTCCTCCGCCTAAACCTTTCGATTGTCTTTTACTAGCAATATGGGTCTCGATGCGAAGTGCCAGACAGCAAGGCTGAGATTCGTGTTTACAGGCATCGTTTTCGAATCGTTTTCGACTGTTCTCACGTTTCCGTTTCTTTTCGAGACTGTTTTTTTGTATTGAGTTTCCTTTAATCTGAAAGTCTCCCTTCCTTCCCTTGAAGTCAATACTTGGTCGACAAAGTTGTCATGTATGATTAGTGAGAGCAGGAAACTTCGCAGCAAGAGTAACAGAGCAGAAAAAAGGGACGATCATCAACTCTTGCCTAGTCCTTAGGCCTCATTATTCCGCGCGGCCTATGCGTTTAGGGTCACGTGGTCCGGCCGTTCGTCTCAGATACGTCACCGAAATTGACCGAGAGGGCCTGAGAAGACGCCGTACAGCGACTGGGCAACATCAACCCCAGAGTCTGTTGGAGACGGATAAGGACAAAGCATTATGGGATTCTGAAAAATAGTGCACTGCCCACGTAATAGAGGCAAGAAGTCTGAAGAGCGGGTATTATGGTTGTGGGTGGAGAAGGATAGAGTCTGTAAAACAATTAAACGTGGACGTGCCAGTTGACTGCAGAGTTAAGACTTACTACAAGTCGACCCTCATACGTCCAAAGGGAGCGAAGCGAGTTTCAATGAAGTCACTAGGTCGACTTGTTTCGCCTGAATGGATTTGAATCAATTTTTACATTCACGCGGGAAAAAATGATTGACATGTGCTGTGTCGGGAGCTGAGTGAAATATATCTCACTCCCCTATTGGTCAACCGGTGGAATTTCGCGCCAAACAAGTATTGGGACTTTTGGAAATTCTACTGCAGAGTAAACTCGAAGGAAAGTGAGAATATTGCGAAAGCGTGAGATAACAACCATGTGGGCTATGCAAAAAGTGTAGGTGATACCGATTGCTGCAGGAGCTTTGGGAGCAATCCCTAAAGGTGTGAATCAGTCGCTCCAGAGTAGACCAAGGTAGGTGCAAGAGACCGCATACTCTGGACAGTTCTTGAGATTGAGAGGTGGCAAGACCCGTGTCACCCTTAGTTACTGGCTGCAACCCAATCCAAGGGAATTCTTCCGGTTGACTAGCAATCCAAAAACTCTCACACATAAAAGCAAGGATACTTTCAAAACTTTCTTGTGAAAATGAGTTTTATTTGCATGCCGGAATGAAACAGTCAGTCTTTTTTCTCAAAATCAGGAAAGAAATCGGTAAATTGTGGCGTACGAGTGTTACTCCACGCCACGCCACGCCTTGTTCCAGGCCTTTTGTTTGACTGCTCTTGAGTACTTGAATACGCAAAAATACAGACTGTTTTGCAGTCTAGACTCAATTTAAAACACTGGACTGCCTGCAGGAGTAATGGATCGCATCTGAGCCGCAAGGAATGTATCTGGGAAATCGTTATTGACACAGTGATTGTATTTTTATGATTTGTATAATTCTTAAAGTTGTATAGAGCTTAATTCTTACTTCCGTAAATTATGTACATATTTTTAAAGTTGAATAAAATTATTATTTTTTATGTATAAAAAAATAAAATAATAATAATAATAATAATACTAACGTCCACTTACTAAGGAGACTAATACTTTACTGACTTTTCCATAACACCGAATTATTGACAGTTTTTTTAATTTACAATTTATATGTTTCATTTACAATATTTTATTTCTTTGTACAATATTTACCTTTCTGTTGTCAGTTCTTACACGCCGTGATTTTCTACTGAGACCGGTGATAAATGAAGACCCACTGATTAATTTGTATGCTGAAATATCAAATTTCAACACTCTACAACTCGACTTAAAGAAAGAAATTCTTTTCAGAGAAAAAATGGCAACGTGGCAGTGAAAGCTAAACATTCTACCGGGTGCGCGGTCAAATAGCGTGACGTCATCGTTTTTGGATTCGAAAATTTTGATTTTTATCCGTCTTCAAGATGTACGGGGAAAACTGCACTTTACAGCATCTCAAATCTGGTAAGACTTTTTAAAAAGTTTTTTTTTTGGCGACGAAAACAGATAGACAGAAACGACAGGTGATTACGGAAGGCCAATCCATCAAAGAATTCCGCCTTTTAAATAAATACGGATACGAGTGAACGGGGCATTTATTTTCACCACGAGAGTGAAACCACACGTCACGAAAAGAATACGACACACGGAAAATTTGTTTTTATTTGTTAATTTTACGAGCTGCATGATTAAATTACGAGTTGGTTGGCAGGGTAAAAACATCTTTACAGTAAAAAGCTAAATTAGGAAGACCCTCACAGACTTATTTATCACAGACGCCGTGATCAATTTACTCTCCAAGCGACAATATCATCGAGCCATTCTTATTTCGCGACCAAGCTTAACAATATTTATTTAAATGAGTTGTGATATTGTATTAGCGATCAAATACACAATATTCACTTTGATGATTTGACACTACCGTTGTTCTTGATAAGTGGAAATTTTCCCTGCGGTCTACTAACTCAACAGACTCTCAACACGTCTCAACTCTCAACCCTAAGAGGTTCAAGCCAGGATCCAACGAAATTTTCAAATCTAGGTTTATAAAATTCTGAAAAACAAATACAATCGATCATCTACTAAGGGCCACCGCCCTACAACGGCCACTGTTTTGGCGGACAGTCCATACATTGACTCTTATTTAAACCGCTCTACAAAGGCCTTTTTCTTCTGTCTCCAAGATGGCTGTTGTGCAGATTTCAACGGTGGTCCATGCAAAAATAATGCCAGACAGGTTTCATTTAAATGGTCACATTAAAGGATTTGGTTCACAGCCCCAGATGTTAGCAAAACCTTACGATACTTCATCGTTCACTCTAAGTTACATACAGGACAGTACAGCACGCTCAGTTTTCTCTCGTAATGTAATTCCAGTATACCCTTAATTTAATGATGAAAGAGTAAGTCCTGTCGTATATGATTTGAAGTTTGTTTGCATGCTTTGAATGAAATGAATGCCGAAAATAGGAATAAATAAATATACCTCACCTTCTTTGACCCGTTGTTACCCATGCAGAAAATATGAATAGCGACACTATTCGCCACGTCAAAACACGACTCCAAACTTTACACCTAATCATTAAATTGGAGGTTTAGTACACAAAATAAGGCAGGCAAGTTAAAAAAAAAAACTCCCCGATTTTTCTTATCAGTTATTTTGAATTGTAATACTTTAAAACGGATCAAATCGCGGAATTAAGGAAGGTTTAAGTATTGTTATACTGGTAGAAAGTGCTGAAACGAATATAATCATCGCCTTAAAAGTTTCGACGGATGCTCGTTTTTCTAGAATATCTACCTATATTATTGATAATGGAAGGCGGTTAAGAGGCCAAACATGTTATTTTTTTCTTGATAATAAAAATAATGATAGTATTTTCTTCGTCGAATCAACTTGAAGTCAGACTCCTTAAGGGCTGCAACTACTACAACCGCTTGTCAAAATTCGTCGTAGTTCAGTTTGGATCTATCAAAACGTTTTCAATTTTTTTTTTAAATCCTTACCCTTTTTTAGGCAATAAAAAAAATTTATTTATCGTAAAAATGTGAAACGAAAATAACATTATTCATTAAATTAAGTTATAATTATTTTTTGTCACTTTTTTGACTGTGATATTAATAAGATCTGCTCGAGAAGTTGAACACCTCCTCTTAATGAAATTAAAGGAAATAATACTCTAAAACCCCAAATAAATTGGAATAAGGTTGCGGTTCCCTAGTTTTTCCCAAATAATAATTAAATGCATCTTCCACTTCAGCGAGATAAACGTTTTAACGAAATTGAATGTATATATTAAACTGTTAAGCTTCAAAAAAATAATATAAATAAATAAATTTCTCTGATCAATCTTTTGCTTAAACTCAGGGCGGGGCGCCCTGGAGAGCTCGCTTGCAGACTAGGAGAAAAGTCATTGTATTCTTATTCGTTGGTAGACTTCTGTTCGCGTACACCAAGCAGTTTGTTCAATCTTTGACAGCATGTCTGGTCTTGCTTTGGTTTCAGCTGAGAGTAGCCAGAGAGAGACATCCAAATGGTGGGACGAGAAGCCAAAAATGGGCTCGCCAACGCGAACGGAATCGTTATCAACAAGACAACAAGGGCACAGTAGCGGAAGTAGGGAGCAGTGCCATAACTGTAAACCAAAGTACCGCCTATGAGTTGTCCAAGCCCACTACCCAGACCGTAATACAGGCCATGCAAAATA